CTTTGTTGTGCAGGTTTTCGATGGACCCAGGCTCTTCAGGTGCACTTTTTTGGACTACCTCGGAGTCATCTTCCTTGGTATTGATGATATCACCATTAAACGAACTGGCCGATGCCTTATTTCCCATTTGGCCGTCTCAACGCTACGTCCCTATTTTCGAGCTGTATTTAAACAGTGAGAAGCTCAAACTGACCCGAAAAGATAAGACAAATCAGCAACGAGTATGAGGAAACATACTAACCACGCCTGTGAAGGGAAAAGGCGCCGGGCGACTGAAAATATATAAAGTAGAAAAACTTAAGAGAATCAATTAATATGCTTTATAATAAAAAAATAACAGTCAAAACAAAATTTTATTTGTTTCTATAGTATTCAAAACTTTATTCGGTTTTTCATGCTAAATTGTATTCAACTCAAAATTCCTTATTAGCTATTTATGCAGAAGCTTTGGCTCAGTGTTTTTCTGTGTGTGGACATCTTCTTGTTTTTTCCTTGACTTGGTCCCTCAAACTCCGCCGCGGTGACCTCGTACCCATATTGTACCAAAATTGTCTCAGGAATATTTCGTAATTCAATGAGTCATATTTCCTCCGACAAAATGGATCATCGTAAGCTTTTAAGTACCTAAGTGTGAACGATGAAGTTTTTTACCACTATATTTGGCATTGACTTTCAGTCGCTTTTTGGCCGTCTAGTACTTATTCTTTAAACTAACTTTATATGTGATCTAGAACCCTGTTATTTCGTCCATATGGCCTTATCCATATCCCATTATACAGTGTATTTTCACTTGTTGAGGAGTTTTTATTCTCGTGTATCTTAGGTCCTACCTTTTTTTATTATCCTTTATTAGCATTTTATCCATATCGGAATCGGGTTTGTGGCAGTCACAAGACTTCTTGGCTCTCAATGAACCTTCACTATATGCCCCTTGCAGTTGTCTTATAGCTCCACTTAGTTTCAATAATTTTTTTATTACTCTAGTTAATGATTCCTCAAAATGTCTTCATCGCATGAATCGTCACAGTAGCTCCGCTGACCGCTACCACCGTCACACACATGAGCGTCGTTGTGTTCTAGATCTTACAACTGTGTCGGGCCGCCTCGCTCCCTGTTTGGAAGAATCACCCACCTTTTCGGACTCGATCACAGAGACTTCATCAAAGCAGACCTTGGATATAGCCGCACCTGAACGTCCTGTACTCAACTCCCGAGTGAATTTACCTCCACATTTAGCAATGCCGCCTGGTCCACCAACATCTCCTGTTCCTAGCCCCCCTCTGGCCACTGGATTTATATGTCAGAACCTGGGAGGCCAACTTTGCCAAACACAGTGTCAAGGCCTGGCAAATCATCCTACTCAATTAATCTCAATAGATGGAGGCCAGGGTCATTCAAGCCAATCTGGTAATGTGCATGCATTGACCTCTGCTGTTTTTACATCTCTTTGATCTGATCCTTAATGTATTCAGTCATACTCTCTTCAAGCCGATATTTGCTTTTGCTGATATTAGACTCAAGCCAATTGTAGTATATCTATGAGTAAAATTCGCTTATATATTTTTATACAAACAAAATTGTATTATATTTTATTTGATGCTCCAAATCTTATTAGTTTAATATGTCTACCCATTTATGGTCCATCTAAAGGGTGTTTGCGCTACGTAATGCGCCGCCGTGGATTGGCGCTCGGAGACATCTTATAATAGCTACTCTAATCTTACCAATACTTGAAGACTGTATTGCCTGAAGATTAGAATCTGTCCGTCTAGGCTTAGCTCAGATTTGAGACTCGTTAGCACCCGTCTTTTGTAGTATTTGCATCATCAAAGATGCTGAGTGTCTGCTAAAGATCACACTTATCTCTGCATATCACTTGTTATGATAGAGCTAACCAAAAAGTCCGTTTTAATCAATGTTTTCTCCAATATCAGATTGAGCTCTAGAATTTGTTTGACAATTTCCGTTTGTGTGCACATGTATATCTCTGTATATGAAAGGGGAGACAACATTAGTCATTCAAATAACCGCATTGTTGCCTTTTAGCTATTTTTTAGTTTAAACTACTATCGAATTTGTATTTTTGTTAAAGATGTGTAAACTACTGCTTTTTCTATTGGTTCGATTTCTATTGGACTGCTAATATGCATCCTTAACATGTTTAGCTCTAGCTTAACGGCCACAGACCATGGAGTCTACACATTTACCAACATGCATGATCTGTGTAGTAAGTTATTTTAAATCAACGAAGAAACATGAGTGAGTTAAATAAGAGATTTGGTGCATACAATCACATGGTCCAAATATAGATGAAGTTTAGCCACGATATGGTTAAAGCTGTAATTACGAAGAGAAACTGGGTTTCGATGAATCTTCTGAAATAACATTGTTGGGGGACTTGCATTTCGTATGAAAATGCATGAATAAGAGATTCGTTGGTCGATCTCATCAGATGAGGACGGATGAATCTCGTACTGTAGCCGTTTGGCTTTTATACGATGTTCATGTTGACGCAATCACACGAGATTTGCTCCCTCGTTTCGGGTGAAAACGGGCTGAGCTTTCATTCATCATATGATGGACATCATCAGAGTTGGGTATCATTCTTGTAAGTATCACGTTAACACTAGGCCAAGAGCACTATCCGGCTTTATCTTACCTCTTATATAGACTCAATTAAGCCAAACGAAAATCAAAAACCTATATAGATCTATATAGAGTTGTTTGGCTAATTATCTTTCATATTGGTCCTGTTACTTTTGCTTGAGTGTCTGCATGTATGTATGTGTGTGTGTTGATGTCTATACGCAATACCGGTCCTAAATCAGAGTTGTCAAAAGGTTAATGTTAGATTCTGATCATTAAGAACTAATGACCTAACAGAAAACCTTGACCGAAACTGCGTAATTCCATTAGCAAGTATGGTTGAGATAATGAGATATTAGCCTGTAAGTATGAAATTTAAGTTACGAAACCACTTGTCTTAACCTCTTAGTCTAGGGCCATTAACGGTTAACCCCCAAGGAAAAGTAAGACGGGCTGCGTAATCTGGCAACTCTAGTTTGTTTGATGAATTTACTTTAACATGTTGGAACGAGTGAGTGAAGTTAGAACCATGACCGAGTAGCAAATTGAGTAG